ATATATGAATTTTTGATGAGCATTGAAAATTGCAGAACATAACGTTTCATCTCTTAGTAAGAAGTTAGGAGGCATCTCATAAGAAAGAACACTTTCCTAGAACCACAATACAAGAAATTTGATATGAATACAATAATATATGTTACATTTCATTTTCACGTCTCTTGTCTCCTTTAATATAGAATAATTCCCCCACCACTTTTTCTTTCTTGACACCGTTTTAGGAATCCAGGCCGTTATTTTGCAGTAAATCCTCTGATTTGGATTCACCTTACATTTTCTCATGATTGGATCCAAGTTAAATACTTTTGGCAAGATTTCTATAGAAGTGATATTGTGTCCTTCTTAGTACAAGATACCAGGAGGCACATGATGTTAATTTGTCCCATTGTTGCTAATCTGATGTTTGAGCACTTGGCTAGGGTAGTATCCACTGTTTTTTTTCACTGTAATGTGTATGTAATCTAAAGGGTATTTCTTGGAGAATATGTGAATACCCTATTCTTTCTATAATTACTAGATGCCATAAGGCATCTAGGCACTGTAAATCTAAGGCAGTGTAAATAAGGCTTTCCCTCCCTCTCTCTTCCACACCCATTTAAAAATATGTATCACTATGGACTCATGGATTTTTTTTTTCCCCTTCAGTGTTATAATCCATAAGTATCACTCTTTTGGATGTTCACACTATCCCATGTTTGGACAGCGGGAGCCTCTGGAAGTTGGCTCATATGTCCTCTTGACATGTCCTAATCAGTTTCACAGCACTTCATTACATATACAAATAAACATGAAGGACTGAAAATAGGCAAATTAAAATCCCACCTATGAAAGCTAGAAAAAGAAAAGCAAAAGTAAATCAAAAGACAGCATAAGAAGGAAACAATAGAGATAAACCAGAAATTGAAGTCAAAAACAAACAAACAAACAAAAAATTGTGGAATAAATAAAACAAAATCCTGTGGGTTTTAAAAAATATATATATAATTAACAAAATAGACCACCAGTTAACCTAATTGAAAGCAAGGGCAAAGGGAAAGGAGAACACAAACATACAAAATAGGAAATGACAAGGGAGAAATAACTACTGGAACAGGAAACTAAAAAGTCATGAGACAGACTGCTTGGTATAATCTTTGATAAATGAATTTAAAACCTTAGGTTCACTGGCTAATCTAGGCACCTAGAGTTTTCCACAGCTGACTTTCATAGAACAGAGAAAGCTATCAAAGAATCAGTACACACAAAAAAAGCAAAAGGCCCATACACTGGCACATGGGAATTCCGAATTCCACCCCATCTCCAAAGACCAATACTATATAAATGATTCCAGACTCCAGAAAAAGGAAAGCATGAAGACAGTTTTTATAAAGCAGTTAAACATCGCCTCCTAAACTTGAGAAAGATAGCAAGGGCATGCGTACGTGTGGACACGCACGCACGCTGCTCCGCCGATACTCCTTCGCCCATCTCTTTGCTTTCGGACTTGGAATCGCTCTTGTTTCAGTTGGGTTTCTTTGCATCTAGTGTAAAATCAGCCATTGCTCTGTGAGCCAATTTAAACATCTTTTTCTTTTCATAGAAGAGCTACCTATTGATATGACTGATGTGTTTGGTCTTAATTTTATCACATTACATTTTTGCTGTGTTTATTATATTTGCTGTACTTCATAGTCTATGCATTCCATTTTATTCTAAAATATTTGCTTGGCATTTATAAAGTTTCATTTTTGTTCTAGTGGTTACCTTTATGCTAATACTTTCTTTTGCTTGCTTTAGTCTGTACTCAAGCTTCTACCATTTGGTTTGTCAGCTTATTTCATCCTTGGACTTCCACCTATTTCCTAACAATCAGTTTATTCTACTTCCCCCTTCTCACTTTCTCCTCCCATTATGTTCAGTTGCATTGCTTGTTCAGAATACTATATATATTCTTCTACCCTTATCATTACCTTAATTTTAGATTCTCAATTAAATATTTAATCATCATCGGTCCTTCTGCCAAAATGTCCTCAGTCATCTCTTAAATGGATGAAGCTTGTCTTCTGGTATACTCCTCAGGAAAGACTTATAAGTCTTGACTTCTTACATATTTAAGATTTTTTTAAAGATTTTTTTTAATAGCTTCAATCCTTGAAGGATGATAGCTTGTCTAGCTATAAAATACCTGTCTCATGTGTACGTGAGTACCTTGTTGTTGTTTTGTCTGTTGCTATTAGAAGTCTGTTCCTTTTGCTTTATAGATGGCAGATCTTGGGGGTTGGGTGGTGGTAAGAAGAGGGGTGGAGCCCTGAGAATTTTTCTTGTTCCATAAAGTCTCAAAGTTTACTGAGATGTATGTTAGAGTTGACCATTCTGGATCAACTTTTCCATACACAGTAGGCTCTTTCAATATTGTATTCAAGTCTTTTGTTTATAGGAAGTTTTCTTGTATTACAGATTTAAATATACTAATTCTGCTCCACTATATTGTTTTTCTTCTTTGGCAGTCTCCAAATATATTTATGTTAGGCCTTCTTTGCTTAATTTCTGTATCACTTTCTCTTGGATTTATTTTCCTGCTTTCTATATTTAGTTTCCATTCTCTTACCTGTTTCATGACTTTCTTCAATGCCAAATATATTTTCAGTTGAATCTATTCTTCTCTGGGTAACTTGTAATTCAGTCTTTATTTCTATGATAATTGTCTTTTTTCAATTTACTTCCTGAATTTAGTAGTTTCATTTCACAACTTCCAGTTTTTTGTCCATTTTGGTTCTAAGCTTTTAAATTTCTGGTTCAAGCTGTTTCGTCTTCCAGTATTAAAGGACATTTCCTTCAGGTTGGTGGTTTGTGTAACAGTTTTCTTCTGTTCATGGCCGTTTTGGGGGGGAGAATTTTCATTTATTGAAATGTTTTGATTTTCATTTTCTAGTTTCTCCCCATAGTAGTTCTGTATAAATGTCACTTGCCACCTTCTGTTTATTTTGTAGTGCCTTGTTCTTCTGAATCAGCAATACTACAGCCAGGTGTGAGGGGTTTGGGGAAGCTTGCTAGATTTCTTAGTTCAAGAGTGCCCTCTTCTGTCACTATAGTGAAATGATTATTTGGATGGGGGGAAGAGGATGGTTTATCTTCTCATCTTGTAATTCCTTCTTTCCACTTCTCATTTGTTACTTTCCCTTCACTACCAGGTCCCCAAAGGGCACCTCTTCCTTCTAAGTCACCTCCATTACCCTTGAAGCAATACTTTTCCAGAGCTACCACCTATTACCCTGTATATTTCAAGCCCCTCATTTTCGATTCTCCACGTAACCAGAGTTCTAGTTGCTAAGTCTCAGACCTCTTCTCAATGTGCCCCTGATTGAGATACGTCTTTCTCTTTCTAGGGGATGATTTTAATCTATGTTCTGTCACCTCTAGCCCCCTGCACCTTCTCGTCTTTCCACACAAGTCTCTCTGATGATGGCTCTGCTGGATTTGGTTGATCCCACCATGTAACTTGAAGTTTGGAGTATTCTGTCTACTGGATGTGGTAGTCATGGGTTATAAGTGGTTTTATTTGCACTCCTTGTTTACCTGTATAGGTTGCTTCTGCTATTGTTTTAATATAAGTGTGGAGAAATTTAGATTTCAGTTCAGTTCAGTAACCCAGAACTCCTCAGAAAATCTGCCATTGGGCAGATCTGGAAAAGAAAAGGGCGTGGCAAACCTAAGAAGGTCTCTGCATTATCTATCTCATCTACACTGTAAGGATTCAAAGAATAAGGAAGAGACAAAATGAGATGGCCTTGAGGAAGGCTCAAAAACCCTTGTCCCAAGTAAATGGGGTAGCTTACCTGAGTAAGGTTCCACTGCAGCTGCTGAGCTGGCTGAACCCCATACATTGTCTGGGGCACAGCTGCCATGCCTGCCATGTAGCCAGCTTGCTGGGTGGTCATCATTCCATTTGGCACACCCATCATTGAAGCCTGCATGCCACCCATATAGCCTGCAGGCATGGCCATGGGGGCAACCATCCCAGAAGCTCCTGGCTGAGCTACCATGCCTACTGGAGGGGGCATCATGCTCCCCATTATGCTGTTAGGAGGTGTGACCCCAGGGAAGCTGGGGTAGGCTGTGGGATACGCCATCTGAGCTGGAGCCATGAACATTGCTGCCAAGAAAACACACACACAGGTTTAAGAGGAAAGTGCACAAAGTCAATCTAAATTCTCACTGGCTACTCCTTTCCAGCTAGAATTTCTCAGTAGCATTTCTACTCAACTCATAATGCTCGTTTACATAGCAAAATAGATTCCCTACAAGGCTTGCGACAGCTTACCAGTGGGCTGCCAACTTAGCCACTTTCCTTTTAGGGTCCAGGTCCAGACCTTGAGTCAGACTTCACACAAGGGTGACACCAGACCCCACAGGAGTATGGCTCTGAGTTACATTACTACCCATCTGCTGACACTTCGTAGCTTCACAAAAAAATGTCAGGTTCAGGTTTGTTTACAGTATAACGTCCTGGCCCCCAAAGCAATTGCTCCCTATTACAACAAATAATTCTTGCATATAAGTCCTCTTGTCTCTATCTGGCATTTTGCCACCACCCCCATGAATTCTACCTTGGGCAGGCATTTGAGGTGTCTGGGATCCATACAGTGAAAGGATGGAGTCTTTTGAGAGCTGTTTCTTGCCTGTTTCTTCTGATTTGCTCCCTGGCTCTGGAAACAGGTTCAGGTTTTCAGGAACAGAGCCAGCACTCCCTGAAGTTGGCATGGAACCTACAACCTTAGGGCAAAGAGGGGAGGGGGAGAATTGGAATGGTCCTCACAGGGGTCTCGGTAAGGACCTCCCTCATCTCTCTGCCGCTTCTAACATCTGCAATAAGAATTCACAGCTCAAGTTAATAGCTTCCTAACATTCCTACCATACAAATATGTGAAAACACCGGATAGTTAAGTTCTGGTACAATTCTTTGATCTACAGAACAAATCTACAGATTTGGTGAAAAACAAACAAACAAACAAACAAATAAAAACAACCTACAAATGATGCAGCCACAGAGAATGGAGTTTAGGTCCCAGCACAGCCATTTACTAGTCGCATGATGAGAGGCTAGTCACATAACCTTTCTGAATTCATGTTTCCTCATCAATAAACTCCCTGTTTTGTAGGGTTGTGGTAAATATTTTAAATTATAAAAGAAATATGCAAGCTGATATACAAAGTCACCTAGCACTGTGCCTGGTCCTAAGCAGGCATTCCACAGATGGTGGTCATTAACAGTTTCAAGTCTTTCAAACCTACAAATTCTCTGGCGGTAACTCACGCTGAGGAGCTGACCTAAAGTAGCAGCCTTTATAAGGTGACACACCTTCAACAGAAGCCCACTCAAAGGACTCACTCTTTTGGGGCAGGAGACAAAATGGAATGAATAGTAATCTTGGGCTGTAACAGAGATGACAATATTAAGGGAAGAATCAAGAAATCAAGAAAACCGAAGTCCAATTCCACCAAGGAAGTATGACTTGGCTCCATTACTAAGTTATCAAAATTACCCTTTTCAAAATGCTCTTTAATTCGGAGGAGCCCACGTGACTCACCTTTCTGGAAACTGAAGAAGAGGGGGATGGAACAGAAGCCAAAAGATCTAAATCCTTCTCTAGAGTATTGCTGGTCTTACTATTTGCAATGGAGCAGGACACAGGAGCATCTGGAAAGAGAGATGAAAGCTAATCTGTAGCACTGCTCATTAAGTTCATGTCTTTCTTCTATTCTAGACGAGAAGCAGACAGAGTAGGCCTATGCTCCATCAGGGCCCTGGAAATCTAGGCTTCTGAAACCACCCAGCTTGGATGGGACCTCTCAAAAAAGACCTCACCCTATGTTCCCAGGAGCATGCCGGAGAAGCCTGCAGCCCAGCTATCAGGCACAGGGCAGCAGAAACCCAGGCCTGAAGGCTATATTAGCACCACAGCAAACGGGCTGGCTGGCTCCCTTCCAGCTATGTGAGGGGTAAAGCTGTGTAGCTTTTATCTCTTTTTCAGAGATAAATGAAAATGAAAGGTACAGAAATTATAAACCTAAATAGCCAATAACCTAAATCAGCAGAAATGTACTAAAGTATAGCCGTCAGATCTGTGAAAGGTAAAGAGTACTCTATTTCTGAAAGGGGCAGAGCCGCTAGTTCAGGGTTTCAAAGGTTTGGAGAAAAATAAACACAGGTAATAATAGGCCATCTCAGAAACAGGCTGCACCTGAAAAATGAGAGGGCTGGGGGCATGGCTCACAGGTGCTGCTTTAGTGAAGCTTGCTGACCTTTACTGAATGATTAGTATGTGCCAGGTAAGAGGCTAAGAGCTTGAGAGGCACTATCTCATTTAATCCTTCCAGCACTTTTGAAGTAGAGACTGTTATCATCTTTGCAGACACAGATTAGGAAAGTACTGTTCAGAGGTTAAGCAAACTACCCAGGGTCACATAGATAGCAAGTGGAGAGATGGACCTCTGACTCCAAAGGCCATGCTCTTAAACCACGACACTATACTGTCATTCTGAAAAGCGTAAACACTTCTTAGAACAACTGCTCAGACGTAAAACAACAGGAAAAACATGAGAGAACAATCTAAATGATGAAGACACAAACTGAAGAATCCCATCTCCACCTATCTTCCCAGGGTGACTGAGAACTCATCATAATTTGTAAGATTATGGGAGTGGAAAAGTCTGACTTTTTTTTTTAAAGTTTATTTATTTATTTTGAGAGAGAAAGCAAGTGTGAGTAGTATAGTAATCTTGGGCTGGGGGGGGTGTGGAGGGGTGGAGAGAGGGAGAGCTCTGTACTGTCAGCACAGAGCCCCATGCGGGGCTTGAACCCACAAACCACGAGATCATGGCCTGAGCCGAAGTCAGACGCTTAAACGGACTGAGCCACTCAGGCGCCCCGAAAAGTCTGGCTCTTACCAAGGCCCAACAAATCCATGACAGGTGCTGAGGATTTCGGGGAGCTTTTCCGAGGTAGCTGTGGATCTTCTTTTTTCTGTGGCTAAGGTGAAAATATGTTAAAGAAAGAAATAAGCAGGTGTTTTTGAACGCTTTTTTCCCCCCTCTTCACTGTAAAGCCACAGGTATTCTTGTGGTATGGCTGCTGTTATTCAAAGGGTTACCAAAGAAACAAAACTCAGGAAGTGTCAGGTGAAAGAATCAAGTCAGGAAGTACGAGTGCATAAACCAAGCCTAAAGTGAAAAAAATATCGTCTGTGCTTGTTTGGCTTTCTGAAACCAGGACAACCACACCAGGAGGTCCAACCAAAACAGCAGGTTTGGGTCCCAGGAAAAGCCAAGAACAAAGGTGGGTGTCTGACGGTGTAAGAGCCAAGAGCCAACAAATCTCCCAGTGATTAGAAAACCTTCGATACCAAAAGGGAGATCAGTTTAAAGATTACCTAATTCACTCTGCCAATATCATTAAGGACTGTGTTCTGCAGGCAGTGCGACTCAGAGTGATGATAAAAGACTCTTCCTTAAGCAAATAGTAAAAAGTCCTCTCTCCCAAGATTCCAAGCTCTTACATTAGGGTATCTACTACTACAGCCACAATGTCCTGTGAAAAAAGAAAGGTGTCTACTTCAATATGACAGAGCAAGAATACAAGAAGGAGCGCAATGGATTAGTACGGCCAGGCTTCTGGACTGTTCTTAACTGCAACAGGAAAATGAGGCAGAGAGGGTCTAAAGAGAGAAGGGTTAATGTAGCATCTGCTCAGAAGGTATCACATAGCCTAGGCATTCCGGCATGGAACGTGCCTCCTGCTCAGAAGGGCAGATGCAGTTCCCAAACTCCCAACCAGCCCCAAGGAGAAGTGTCACGGAGCAGCTGAGGCAGCAAGAAGGCGATGGGAAAGCAGCAGAAATGGCAGCAGGCAATCTAATGTAAATGTGGAACCCTTGGGCCCCAGGAAAAGTGGTGCAGTATGCTATCAACCGCACCCCACCCACCAGAAGGCCTCCTACCCCTCCCCTCCACATATAAACACACTTGAGGTCATCCACCCAGTGCAAAGACTTTCCCACTTACCATTTTAACTTTCTCAAAAACAACAGGTTCCATTTTTTTCTCTGGAGCTGGTTCACTCCCTCTTTTCCACTTGTCATCTTTTTCTTTCTATAATGATTTAACAAAACAAGACAAAGAACACACGTGACTAATAGTTTGAAAATTATAATTCCAAATGTGCAAAAAGGACACAAAATATTCCTGTTGAACGGATGCAGGGTCTGACAAACTTGGGGGTTTCTTCATATGGGGCATGAGAGCTGGCCTCTTCCACATTAGCCTTAGTGCTGTAAGAGACATCTTTCACATACCATTAAGTACCTCCTCATTCTGTCTAACTCATTTGTGACTCCTGAACTGTGAGTCTAGGCTATCTATAGAAGTTAAAAACGTTTTACCAGTTTGCTGCCCCTTTGTGACTCAAGTTTAACTTGCTCATGCTTGGAGGGGAGCCGCCTCACCTTGGTACAACAGTGAATAAGTTCATGTTCATCTTACTTGACAGATATCCTTTGTGATTTTATTTTTTAGAGAGAAACAGAACACAAGTGGAGAAGGGACAGAGAGAGAGGGGGACACAGAATCCGAAGCAGGCTCCAAGCTCCAAGCTGTCAGCATAGAGCCTGACGCAGGGCTCAAACCCACGAACTGTGAGATCATGACCTGAGCCAAAGTCGGATGCTTAAACAATTGAGCTACCCAGGCACTCTCTCCCTTGTGTTTTTAAATTCAATCATAAGTCTTCCCAGTCTTTATCTCCTTTTGTAAAAGTCAGGAAATAAACTGTAATTTCAAGCTTAAGGATTTTTAAATTCAATCATAAGTCTTCTCAGTCTTTATCTCCTTTTTTAAAAGTCAGGAAATAAACTGTAATTTCAAGCTTAAGGATTAGGGAAACAAAAATCAAGGAAATAAGGCAAAAAAAAAAAAAGAGCAAAAGGATTAAAGTATCCCTTTTAGGGTATCCTGAATAAAACCAAAAGCACTTCAAAAATAAAAGATCAGAATGTCTCAGTTTCTGTTACTTCCAGAGGCAGTTTCATAATGCTTTCATAGACTATAATGTTATTAGTCACATTTTTAACAGCAAATAAATGTTGTCACATTTTTAACATTTAAATGCAAAAAAACAAAAACAAAAACAAAAACAAACGAACCACAGAGTAAACTTAAGACAGGCATATAAAAGGAAGTACATTTAAAAAAATGTTCAGCCTTGCCTATGATCAAAAAATGAAGTTTAAAATACTTTTTTGAGAGGAGAAAGATCTCAGTAATACCTAATGTTGATATGGATGAACTAGCCCTCTTACATGACGCTGAGAACAGAGTATAAAACAGTACAACTTCTGGAAAGTATACTAGCAAAAGGAGGAAGAGACAAATACTGAAGCCCTTCAACCTAGATAATACCGTATCTTGTAACGTATCTTAAGAGATGATCCAGGGCGCTTCTGTATAATGGTGCTATGCCGTCCGAATTTCAGCTATTGTAGGGTCAGACATCTCATGGTCTCAGGATGCTCGGAGCCCCCAGGCTGCTGCTGGCTCCATTGAGGCTCGGAGCCTGCTTCGACACTGTTCCCCTCCTCTCTGCCCCTCCCCCTGCTCACGCCTCTTTCTCTCTCTGTCCCAAAAAATAAACAGGTTGAAAAAAAAAAATTTAAAAAAAAAAAAAAAAAAAAGAAAATAATCCAAAATATGGAAATATAACTCTATGCAGCAAGAAGTTCACCCCAGAATTATCTATGCTGAAGGAAAATTTAAACAATCTCTCTTGTCTCCTATATTGTCTCTTCCACAGAAGGAAAATGGTAAAATATACTGTGAGCTAGTTACTCACTGAAGGATGTAACAATTAAAAGCTATGAACACTATATAAGTACATAAAAACATATGATATGCTAAATTGAATGAAAATAGTAGACAATCTATATAACTATTATAATTAGGCCTCCAGAAAGTAACTACATAGGAAAAAGGAGGGAACACACCAAGGTGATAATCATTGGTAAAGATGATAAGAGTAGGCATAGATTTTCCACTTCAATTTTCATATTATCTGTAATATGATATTTTAATCACAAAAGAACACATGTGGCTATGTCTGTTCCACACATCGTGCAATGTTTTAATACAGAACACTTAATTTCTCAAAGTTAAAAACGCTTTCTCTGTCCATTTAAAAATAATACTCTTTAATTAACAGAACCACTTTCTTTTCAACTTGATACTGTCTTCACTTAGCAAATATTAATTCTTGGCATATAAATCTTCACAAGGATATTTTTAAAACTAAGTACATCAAAGAAAAAATTTTTGGAACAGATTTTTGGTAAACAGGAGGTATTTCCTCCCTAAGTGAAAACATTCTGTGATTAAAACGGGCTGTTTACATGGGTACAGTACAGCAGCAACATAATTATGAATGAACACTATCTTCATACGGCCACTCTTCCCTCCTCCCCCATCTTCTGGATTGTCTCAGATACTCTTTTCTGACCTTGTATGATTTCTTATCTTTTGGTACAATTAACAGAGCTAAGCAGACCATAGTTTTCTACAAATAAAAGGAGATTTGTGTGCTTTGGTTCCAAACTCTTTTTGATGATGCCATCCAAGCTGTGGCTATACACTGGGTTAATTCTCTCTTGAAACGGTTAGGATAAATTCCAGGTTCCTTTTCTGGATGACCACAAGTAAGAGTCCCTCACACTGAGTTCAGAAGGAATCATCTTTACCCAACTAAATGTATTACCTTGCACTTCCCTGCCTACATTGAAACTCACCTACAAGTTGATGGCCCTTTTCACACAAACCCAAAACATCAATCTGGAGTATGTTCCAATTAGTTTGACTTTAAATTCCCTGGAAGGACTTAGAGCCCTGTGAAAATTTAAGTGATTTCACGGGCTAGTACAAACCCCATTAAAATGTAAAACTAGATAGATGATAGATAGGTAGATAGATAGATAGATAGACAGACAGACAGATAGATAGATAGACAGACAGACAGACAGACAGACAGGGCTCATGCGTGCGAGAGCTGGAGAATCCCATACTCTCTTCTCTATACTTCTGCAGACAAAGAAATAGTCAATTATTCCTAAGCAAATTTACTGTAGAATCTTGTCAAAAGTTTTTTTTAGGTCTAAATAATTATATTGGTTCTCCTTTAGCTGTCATTAGTCAGACCTATCTTCTTCTTCCAGAAACCATGCTGTATTTCCTCCTGTATATTATACTTGCCTTAGCTGTCAGACATCGTATTTGATTCTAACCACATGCCTAGGATGGAAAGCAAGCTTGGCAACTAGTAGTCTCCTCCTAAAACCCTTCTCAGGAACAGGGTCCCACTGGCAATTAGTCCATCAACACACTGGAAATACATGCTGGCCAAACTGAAGAAAAACTCTGGTGATTTCATTAATTTTGTTGACGTCATTTACAGAAAAAATGCACATATACACACACGTTTACACATATTATTGTTTGATCTAGTATGCCTAATATGTCCATTTGAAGAAACAATTTGGAAGTGGGAATCACTAACACCTAAATACAGATCAAGGCAAAGAACTCACTAATGATTTGCCCTATCTGTCCCTGATGCAGAAGTCTGCTCCATATTTCATGGTCTTGACTCAATAATTGGCTTTTTTCTACTTTTTAAAAATGGCTTTGGAGTATTTCAGTGGCTCTTCTCAAATTCTTCCCTGGCCTGATTAATAAGCAAACTACTCATTATGAACAAAGCTTGATAACCAACCCTAAAGGCATTGATGTCCAAACTTCGGTCCATGTATTTCTTCTTCTCATATTTATCGCGAATAAATCCCTCGACAGCTCTGCAGAAAGCTTATTAAGGATAAGTCAAACAAATCTTTCCCACAGTATGACTACAATAGGTCAATCTGTATTCAGTGTAACGTTGTTCTCCCCTCTCCCTCCTGCCTGGTTTCTCCATATGGTTCCTGTTTCTTCACATGCAGTTTCCCCGACCAAAACCTTACAATGCCTCCTTCACCATTACTGCCATTTCCTATGACTTTCCTTCAGGGTAATGATAGCAGCAAATGGGATTATTCTTCATATGGACATCAGAGGAACCTGTGGCTCTTCTAGAATACTGGTACAGCAGTCAATTATCTATTTTAAAACCCTTAGGTCAATAGGCCTTAAACAAAGGCAACTGAGTGCCCTTAAAGCTATTAACTCTTGGGGCGCCTGGGTGGCGCAGTCGGTTAAGCGTCCGACTTCAGCCAGGTCACGATCTCGCGCTCCGTGAGTTCGAGCCCCGCGTCGGGCTCTGGGCTGATGGCTCAGAGCCTGGAGGCTGTTTCCGATTCTGTGTCTCCCTCTCTCTCTGCCCCTCCCCCGTTCATGCTCTGTCTCTCTCTGTCCCAAAAATAAATAAGCGTTGAAAAAAAGCTATTAACTCTTGTGACCCACTACCAGATTCTGCTGCATATCTTTTGCAGGGCCCCAAATCTACATTTTAACAGGTTCCACCTGCACCCAACAAAAGGCAAACTCTAGCGAGACAGTTTACAAACCACATTTGAGAAGCACTGCCTTTAGGGGGTTTGGTGTTGTGAGTAGGGTGCTATCCCCTGTTGACAGGGGAAGAAGGTTATTGATTAGCTGGTCAGTAACAGTTAATTCTTTCACATAGGACACAGAAAAGGCATTTAAAAATGAATGGTAGTTTTACTGATTCAATACAGCACAGTAATCTACTCTTTTCAGCACACAATAGTTTCAGAGATGCCAAGACTATCAGAGATGTCACTTTGTGGGAGAATTCAGTGAACTACTGCAGTCTTAATTCTTGAATGAATCTTCCCCATGTGACAGCACCATTCCAACATCAGAAAGTACACATATGCTTTTTGTATGTGTTGGTGGCAGGAGAGAAGAAAGAAAGACTTTGTCTAAACCACATAGAGACGGCCCAGTCAGATCACGGGGCTTGAGTCTTGTGTGACTTTCCCCAAACACCAAAATACCACTCAGCCTTCTAAGTTGCTCCAAAAAAGATACGGGTCTATTTGAGGTCGCCGAAAAGTCTCAGGAAGATAGGCTTCATAGAGTCGGTTTGCCTTTCCGTTCCCCATCTCTTGCATGCACTGCAATCAAAGAGATGGGGACACATGGAATGTCAGATGAGAAAAGAACTGGAAAATTCACCCAACTGCAGCATTTTACAACTGAAGGACTAATCAAACAATGGCAGAACCAAGATCTATGTGCATACCTGATTTCCAGAACACCATTCTCTCCACTGCCAACCATTTGCTCCCATGGTTGTCGTTCCCACCCCCCTCCCCGAGTTCTTTTTCTTGAAAGATTCATCTGACAAGATGCATTTAATTCAGTAATAATTCAAGATCCCATTTGAGGGCCCAAGACACATAACTACCAATCAAAATGTCTACTTGATAGGCAATAATCAGTACCGAATCAGGCAGGCAATAATTGGGCAATAACTACAATTCTGAGTTTATACTATTAATTAATCTATTCAGCTTTATTACCAATAAATGTGTTTCCCATGAGGCCTTTGAAATAGATTCCTTAGCACTTGTGAGGGACAAATCCCAAGAGTTTTTAAATCTTCAAATTCCCAAATACCTCTATGGCATGTAATTTCCTCCATAAGATAAAATAAAGTGTAACTGAAAAATATAACTAATCTTTTAGACTTTTACTGAATCAATAAAAGCAGTCTAATTTCTAAAGCCATTTTCTGGTTAAGAATAACCTCTTATTTCTATTGCCAACTTTAGCAACTGTTTTCTTTAGATCCTTTCTCCCCCTCTCCACCCCCCAAAAAAGAAAAAACAATTTAATTACGTTTAAAAGTTTCAAAGCAGGAAGAAAATAGAGAATAATGAAGCCATATCACGGTGCAGATCTTAAGCCATCTAGTCTCACTAACTTAAGTATCTCATCCCCAGCCCACCAACCTAACAGCAAGCAAGATTTGCATAGACATTTTAACAATAAAATATTGTAAGTCTAGAAGTTGGAGGATGTGTGTGTGTGTGTGTGTGTGTGTGTGTGTGTGTGTG